TAATCTATAGTGACAGAAAGCATATCAGTGGTTGCCTGGGGATGGGGGCATCATAAAAGGGCACAAGTGATGGATATGTTCATTGTCTTGATGGTGGTGATGGTTTTACAGGATATACATATGTCAAAACATATTAAATTACCCCGAGAGTATAGCCCCCGGACACCCTTTTAGTCCAGTAATGAAGTCACTCCTGAGGTTCACCCTTTAGGCAAAGATTAGACAGGCCCATAAAACAAAATGAGGCTAACGGGGCACATGAGCCAAGGGGCAAGGACTAGAAGGCAGAAGGGGACGGGAAAGCTGGTAATAGGGAACCCAAGGTAGAAAAGGGGGAGTGTTGACATGTCTTCGAGTTGTTAACCAATGTCATAAAACAATATTCATACTGTTTAATGAGAAGCTAGTTTGTTCTGTAAACCTTCATCTAAAGTACAGTAAAAAAATATTATATACTTTAAGCATATGCAGTTTATTGCATTAAAGTCTACCTAAATAAAACTGTTTAAAAATTTTTTATTGTGCTTTAGAAGGTTTACAGAGCAAATTAATCTCATTAAACAATATGCATACTGTTTTGTGACATTGGTTGCCAACCCCGTGATGTGTCAACACTCTACCCTTCTCGACCTTGGGTTCCCCATTTCCATTCATCCAGCTTTCCTGTCCCCTCCTGCCTTCTTGTCCTTGCCCCTGGGTTGGTGTGCCCATTTAGTCCTGTACACATGGTTGAGCTACGTGTATTAATGTTTGTTTTATTGGCCTGTCCAATCTTTGGCTGAAAGGTGAACCTCAGAGTGACTTCAGTACTGAGTTAAAAGGGTGTCCAGGGGCCATACTCTCAGGGTGTTTCCAGCCTCTGTCAGACCAGTTAGTCTGGTCTTCTTTTGTGAGTTAGAATTTTGTTCTACATTTTTCTCCAGCTCTGTCCAGGACCCTCTATTTTGATGCCTGACAGAGCAGTCAGTGGTGGTAGCCGGGCACCATCTAGTTGTGCTGGCCTCAGTCTGGTGGAGGCTGTGGTACTTGTGGTCCATTAGTCCTTTGGACTAATCTTTCCCTTGTGTCTTTGGTTTTCTTCATTCTTCCTTGCTCCAGATGGGGTGGAACCAGTCGAGTATCTTAGATGGCCATTCAAGGGCTTCTAAGACCACAGACGCTACTCACCACAGTCTGATATAGAACATTTTCTTTATAAACTATGTTATGCCAATTGAGCTAGATGTCCCCCAAGACCATGGTCACCAGCTCTTAGCCCAGTAAGTCAGTCCCTCAGGGAGTTTGGATGTGTCTATGAAGCTTCTATGACTTTGCCTTGGTCAAGTTGTGCTGACTTCCCCAGTTCTGAGTGCTGTCTTACCCTTCACCAAACTTACCACTTATCTATTGTCTAGTTAGTGTTTTTCCCTCCCCACCCTTCCCTTCCCTCGTAACCGTCAAAGACTGTTTCTGTGTGGAAACCTTTTCATGAGTTTTTATAATAGTGGTCTCATACCGTATTTGTCCTTTTGTGATTGACTTACTTCACTTACCATAATGCCCTCCAGATTCATCCATGTTGTGAGATGTTTCACAGATTCATCATTGTTCTTTATCATTGCATAGTATTCCGTTGTGTGTGTGTACCATACTTTAACCATTTATCTATTGATAGGCACTTAGGTTGTTTCCATCTTTTTGCTATTGTGAATAATGCTGCAATGAACGTGGTTATGCATATGTCTGTTCATGTGACGGCTTCTATTTCTCTAGGATGTGTTCTAGGGGTGGAATTGCTGGATCATGTGGTATTTCTATTTCTAGCTTTCTAAGGAAGCACCATATTGTTTTCCAAAATGGTTGTACTAGTTTGCATTCTCACCAGCAGTATATGAATTCCAGTCTCCCTGCAGCCTCTCCAACATTTATTATTTTTTGTTTTTTTGATTATGCCAGTAATGTCAGGGTGAGGTGGTATCTCATTTCGGTTTTGATTTGTATTTCTCTAATGGCTAATGATAGCAAGCATTTCCTCATGTGTCTGCTAGCCGCCTGAATGTCTTCTTTGGTGAAGTATCTGTTCATATCCTTTGCCCATTTGTTAATTGGATTGTTTGTCTTTTTGTTGTAGAGTTGTTGGATTTTCCTACAGATTTTAGAGATTAGATCTTTGTCGGGTATGTCATACCCAAAACTTTTTTCCCAGTCTGTTGGTTCTTTTTATTTTTTTGGTGAAGTCTTTTGATGAGAATAAGTGTTTAATTTTTAGAAGATCCCAGTTATCTAGCTTATCTTCTGGTGTTTGTATTGTTAGTTGTGGTTTGTATCCTATTTATGCTGTGTATTAGGGCCTCTAGTGTTACCCTATTTTTTCTTCTATGATCTTTATAGCTTTGGGTTTTATATTTAGGCCTTTGATCCATTTTGAATTAGTTTTTGTGTATAGTGTAAGGTATAGGTCCTGTTTCATTATTTTACAGGTGAACATCCAGTTTCGACAGTATCATTTGTTAAAAAGACTGTCTTTTCCCCATTTAATTGACTTTGGGCCCTTGTCAAAGATCAGGTGACTGTAGGTAGATGGATTTACATCTGGGTTCTCGATTCTGTTCCATTGGTCAATGTGTCTGTCATTGTACCAGTATCAGGCTATTTTGACTACCGTAGCTGTATAGTAGGTTCTGAAGTCAGGTAGTGCGAAGCCTCCTACTTTATTCTTCAATAGTGCTTTACTTATCTGGGGCCTCTTTCCTTTCCATATAAAGTTAATGATTTGTCTTTTCATCTCATTATAGAATGCTGTTGGTATTTGGATCGGGATTGCATTGTATTTGCAAATTGCTTTGAGTAAAATTGACATTTTCATAATGTTGAGTCTACCTGTCCATGAGCGCAGTATTTTTTCCATTTAGTAGTCTCTTTTGGTTTCTTGCAGTAGTGTTTTGTAGTTTTCTTTGTACACGTCTTTTACGTCCCTGGTTAGATTTATTCCTAAGATTTTTTTTTTCTTTTTAAGGGTTATTATAAATGGTACTGCTTTTCTGATTTTCTTTTTGTAGTTCTCTTTACTGGTGTATAGGAATCCGACTGATTTTGTATGTTTATCCTGCTACTCTGCTGAATCTATTAGTTCCAGTAGTTTTCTTGTGGAGATCTTTGGGTTCTCTGTGTATAGAATATCATCTGCAAATAGGGATAGTTTCACTTCTTCCTTATCAATTTGGATGCCCTTTATTTCTTTTTCTTCTCTTATTGCTCTAGCTAGGCCTTCTAGCACTGTTGAAAAATTTTAAAATAATGGTTTATAACATCAACTAGGATTTATATCAATCAACATTCCAGCACAGTATTTCACCTGTTAGTAAAATTTGTCACAAATTTCTGTGACAGTCTCAATTTAACAAAAATGAACTTAGAATTGTTAGCTGCCATCAAGCTTGGCCTTGACTCATGGCTACCTCATGTACATTGGAACAAAACACTGCCTGGTCCTGCTCTATCTCCATGATCAGTTGCAGGTTGGACTGTTTTGATCCATACGATTTTCATTGCCTGATTTTTGAAAGTAGACCACCAGGCTTTTCTTCTAGTCTACCTTAGTCTACAAGCGCTGCTGAAACCTGTTCAGCATCGTAGCAACACACAAGCCTCCACTGACGGATAAGTGGTAGCTGCATATGAGGTGCACTGAACAAGAATCAAACCCAGGTCTCCCCCATGGTAGGCAAGAATTCTACTACTGAACCACAAATGTCCTCATAATTTATAATGAAAGGTTTAAAATATGTAAAACATTCAGCACACAGTTGGTGCTTAATTAAGGATAGCCACTATTTTTTCATTGTGGAAAATATATATGTAACATTTGCCATTTCAACTATTTTTTACATGTACAATTCAGTGACATTAATCACGTTAAGGATGGCAAGACTTCGTCTCATGTACTTTGGACATGTTATCAGGAGGGAACAGTCCCTGGAGGACATCGTGCTTGGTAGAGGGTCAGCGAAAAAGAGGAAGACCTTCAACGAGATGGAATGACACAGTGGCTGCAACAATGGGCTCAACCATAGCAACAATTGTCCTGATGGCGCAGGACCAGGCAGTGTTTTGTTCTGTTGTACATAGGGTCACTATGAGTTGGAACCAACTGATGGCACCTAACAATAACAACAATTATGTTAATCATGTTGTGCAACTATCACCACTACCTGTTTCCAATTTTTTCCCATCACCTTTAACAGCAGCTTAGTTTTCTTTAAGTAATGACTCCTTCTTTCTCCTTCCCTCCCACTCCTGGCAACTATTAATAAACTTCGGTCTCTACATATAAGTGGGATCATGCAATATTTGTCCTTTTGTGACTGACTCATTTCACTCAGCATAATGTTTTCGAGGTGCAACAAACATGTTGCAGCATGTTTCAGAACTTCATTTCTTTGTGGTTGTGTAATATTCTGTTGTATGTATGTACCACATTTTGTTTATCCATTCATCTGTGGATGGACATTTGTTTCCACTTTTTGGCTATTGTGAGTAGTGCTGCAATGAACATTGGTGTACAAAAAACTACGCTGACATATTAAAAAAAGAAGAACAAAAAAAAAAGAGGCAGCCCTATAGGTACTGATATGGGACAATCTCCAAGAAATATAGTTAAGTAAATAAAGGAGCAGAACTGTGTGTGTGGTATGTCCATCACTGGTTTTAAAACAGGGAGATAAATAAGATAGATAGATAGATAATATGAATAAAACATCTCTGAAAGGCAACACAAGAAAGTGGTAGTAGTAGTTACTTCTACCGGTGTATGGGGAACTGGGCTGGGGGCTGGGTGGTAGGGAGACTTATTTTCATTGTATATTTTTGTACCCTTTGAATTTTATATCATATACATATATTTCCCACTAAAAAATTTAGAAATTTAAGATATAGGTCAAATAGTATCATTCAGATTCTATAGAGGTAGCTCTTTATACTTGGTAGTTTATTTTACTTAAAAGGAAATTTTAAGACAGAAGAACAATTAAAAGCTTGTATTTTATGTATGAAATTTAGTGTCTTACAGTTAATCAAACACTTTTACATATATTCCCTTATTTAATCATAACAGCCTTGTGAGAAGGCAGAATTATATTCACTTAAAAAAAAAAAAAACCCCATTGCTGTTAAGTCAACTCCAACTCATAGTAACCCTGTACGGCAGAGTAGAACTGCCCCGTAGAGTTTCCAAGGAGCACCTGGTGGATTTGAACTGCCAACATTTTGGATAATAGCCCCAGCACTTAACCACTACACCACCAGGGTTTCCACATATTCACTTTACAGACTACTAAACAGAGCCTCAGGGAGATTGTGACTTATCCTAAGTCACACAGCTAGTGACAGAACTGAAACTCAATTTTTCTGCCTCAAACTGCATAATCTCTCCCCTTTTTCGTTCTATCTGACCGAGTGCTCTCCTAAATGGTTTCCAACAACAAAATATGTGAACAATAGAAAATGCATTATATGTTAGTTTTCCTTTTGTGTGTGGAGAAAAAAAGTTCTTTATTAATTATAAAATTCACTTTTAAAAATTGAAAACAAAGAAGGTAATTTATTGCATTACACAGTACACTTTCAAAAGTACAAAAAAACAGACTTTATGATTTATACCTAGTATTGTTCCTAGCTCAAGTGTTAGGGAGACACTTTTGTTTTCCTCTAATGTTGTTTAGTGAAGGTTAAGGAAGTTAATTATTCCCAGACCCTTAATAAAATAAGTATCTATGTGGCCAATATAAGAGAATTAAATACAGCACTTTTAAAAACAATTCCAAAACTCTTGGTCAAATTCAAAGTAATCATCAAATTCTTTTTATTTCCCATTGAAAGAAATGTTTGCAAATTGACTCTCAAGTGGTGGTCTACTTCAAGAGCTTCTAAAATTTCTTCTCATTGTATACTTCTGTTATTAATATACCACTACTCTACAACTTTCAACATACTTTCACATACAGCATCTCATTTGATTTTTGAAACAACCCAGTAAGACAGGCAGGACAGAAATCTCTGCTGTTTAATAGATGAAGAAACTGACAGTTTGGGAGGTTGGTTTTTTCAAAGTCATATGTCCTTCTATCTTCTAGTTGAATGTTCTCTCCAACAAGCCATGTGGTAAATTCTCAATTATCTGAGTCTGTACATTCAATTTTTAATTATATAGGTTCTTTTCCTTCCTGCTGTATGCCTTTTGATTATTTATTAATTCCTCTTTCAGAAAGGAAGACTTTGGAGCTAAATGACATTCATTCCTAATCAGTCCTGAATCTTCTCAGCTTTCTGAGATCAGATGGGAAGCAGAAATCTATTTTCTTATGCATGGGAGCACAAATGAAATGAACTAGTTTAAATTACTGGATAAAGTCTACATTTACCTATCACCCATTATCAGAATATTTGGAAAATATATAATTACTCTATATCCTAAAACAAAGTATAAGTCCTATAAACCCAAAAGAGCCCTGGTGGCACAGTAGTTAAGAGCTCAGCTGCTAACCAAAAGGTCAGCAGTTTGAATCCACCAGCCACTACTTGGAAATCCTATGGTGCAATTCCACTCTGTCCTATCGGGTCGCTATGAGTTGGAACCAACTCGACGGCAATGGGTTGGTTTGTTTGTTTTTAATAAATCCAAAGCTCAAGATGACAACCTAGACAATACAAGTTAAAAATCAAACTGGCAATGCTCAAATCCTGGCTCCACATCTCCTTAGCTGTGTGATCTCCTGGGCAAGTTTCTTTATCTCTTGCGGCTTCAGATTCCTCAGCTCTAAAATAGGTATAAAAAAATGTTTTCATGAGAATTAAAATAGATAATGCACATAAAGTGTTTGGCACAGTATCTGGTATTTGGTTAAGTATTGATTAACTTGGGCACCAATACATTTAACATTTAGTAAACTAGATTTGCCTATGCATTTCCCTGTTCAATCCATTTCTATACTTTATATAAGAAACATTAATGATCACACTTTGGAATATTTAGCATAAAATATTTAGTTTTAAAAAAATGTTGCAACCACTAACATAATCTTCTTTGGAAGTTAACCAGATTATCATCACTTTTACGGATTTAGAAAGAGAGTTGCAAAAAGTTACTACAATCAATTAAGGGTGAGGGTGAAATAGAGAGCTTTGTTTTTTAATGGACATGGACTTCAATACATACATAAAATTTGCTTGAAATGACATGAAGTTTTAATGTGGCCAAATGGTGATTTCTATCTTAATAATGGACTGATGCAACTCAAAAAGGGTCAGTGTTGCAGTGGTATTACAAGCCCATTGAAAGAGATGGATGATGTAACCACTATAGTAAGAATGGAGTCAACTCTGAGTCACTGGTATAAACTCTGAGGAGCACTAAAGGAGGAACGAAAATCCTTGAGAATTGACTCCCAAGCTCATCATCTTAGTGAACTTTGTATAAAATGTTTCAGTGCAATACGGACACAGTATTGCAAGTACCCATGAGTATCAAGGGTACATTTAGCTGCCCAACATAATGGGAAAAATACTGGGGTCATCAACTCCTGACTATGATAATGTCCCAAGGATTTTTTGTAAGAATCTCGAAAATTTTGTATTACAGCTTTGGCCTATCCACAGTAGGTCATTCAAAAACGTTTGTTGAATGAATGAATGAACGAATGAAAAAGTTAAATGCATTGGCTATGGATTTAAGCAGACCTGGATATCAATCTGATTTAACTTTAATCTGTTATTAATCTCTTTCTGTTTCAAATTTCTCATCTGCAAAATGGGAAATGCCTGCCAAGTACTGAATTGTAAAAACCAAACAACACAGAAATAGCGTATAGAACAATGCTTGGAATATGTTGTTGTTATGTGCTGTGGAGTCCATTCCGACTCATAGCGAGCCTATAGGACAGAGCAGAACTGCCCTATAGGGTTTCCAAGGCTCTAAATCTTTATGGGAGCAGATTGCCACACTTTCTCCCGCGGATCAGCTGGTGGGTTCCAATTGCCAACCTTTTATTAGCTGCCGAGTGCTTTAACCACTGCACCACTAGAGCTCCTGCTTAGAATATTGTAAGCCTTTAAGTAAATAGTAATCGCCATTATTTTTTGCTGAGAGATGTTATACAAGAGTAAGGCAATATCAAGACTTGTTAGTCGAATGTTTTTAGCACAATCAGACCTTCTCCAAGAAAAGTGAACGTAGAAAGGCATCAAGAACAAGGGATGAAGAAGACCTTGTAAATGATAACCGGAAACACAAAGGGAAACGATGGGCAGGGGAGAAGGGGTCGCAAGCTAGAAAAAAAAGATACATCCAGGGTGGCTTTAATAAGCTCTTCTGAAGAGAGCTGCCACAGTGGGGACTCACGGCATGGAGGCAACTACTTTGGCCAGGTCTGTTCTGTGACTTACCGTGGGGCAGAGCAATTTGGAGACGCCTGGTATAGCCAAAGATACTGGGCAGGGGTAAAGGGAAGGCATAACTTGCTGAAAGGAGCCATGATTCGCGGCCAGACAAAGCCCAGACCAGGCCACAGTGATCAACACTCTGGACCCGGCAGTTGCTGTGAAGGACAGAGGAACTGCAGTATTCGGAGGTGAACGCAGCATCTACCCTGAGACCCGCCAGTCTGGGACGAGATTGATACAGAGGAGAGAAGGAACCTTTTGCGGCTTTTAGATGAGACGGAGGAGTGGAGGGAGGGCAACGGAGAAGCGAAGGCCTCAAAGCACATCACCCCGGGACATCACGCACACCGGACACTCGCCTACACCCTGAGGCCCAGCGTGAAGGCGGGACCTCAGTGGCGGAAACGGGGCTAGGATGAGAGGTCGAGCTAGGGACAGGCAGCTGGTGAACCAATGGTTCCCGCGCAGAGGGCGGATATTGCCTCCCATTGGTGGTTAGTGGCGAGACAAGCGGCCAATGATACTGCCCAGGAGACGTAGCAGTGACGTTAATTGAGGAGGAGGCCGCTTCGAATCGGCGGTGGCCAGCTTAGTAGCCTGGGCCAATCAGCGACCTCCAACGAGCAGCACCTTCGCCAATCGGCGGCCTCCACGACAGGGCTGGGGGGAGGGTATATAAGTGGAGTCGGCGACGGCGCTGTCGACGCTGACCGAGACATCACTGGCTGACTGACTTGGGTATTTTGTGAGTGCCGGGGTAAGCGCTGCGGCCTTCTTTCCCAGCCCTACCTTTCACTTCGGCCGCTGCTCCTCCTAACCCCAGGCTCCGGTCCCTTGTAGGTTGGTAATCTTCGTGCGCTTCTGGGCTGCGCCCTGTGACTGAATTGCCAGTGACGTCCTGCCTGCCTGCTGACCGACTGGCCGACTGCGCCGGCAAAATGAAACTCTCCCTGGTGGCGGCGGTGCTGCTGCTCCTAGGCGCGGCCCATGCCGAGGAGGAGGACAAGAAGGAGGATGTGGGCACGGTGGTCGGCATTGATCTGGGGACCACTTACTCCTGGTAAGTTGGACTTGTGGAAGGGGAGAATGGGGCGTGGCCTCCGAGGGCGGCGTGAGGAGTGCGGTGCTGATTTTGTTCATCTTCCACCAGCGTCGGGGTGTTCAAGAACGGCCGCGTGGAGATCATCGCCAACGATCAGGGTAACCGCATCACGCCGTCTTACGTAGCTTTCACCCCTGAAGGGGAGCGTCTGATCGGCGATGCCGCCAAGAACCAGCTCACTTCCAACCCTGAGAACACGGTCTTCGACGCCAAGCGGCTCATCGGCCGCACTTGGAACGACCCGTCTGTGCAGCAGGACATCAAGTTCTTGCCTTTCAAGGTCCAGCTGGGTTTTTCTTATTCAGACAGGATGGGTGGTGGTGGTAGTTAAGAAGTAACAAAAACAGTAATAGGATAGCAAAAAAAGATATAAAAAAGGTCTATACAACTTCCAAAGGACTTTTGTCAACAGTGTTCTTTAGTCCTTAAAGTTTTAATTAGTATGTTATAAAACAGGGTAGCGGGGAAACAAAAAGAACGCACAACTATGTCCAGAAAGTTGAAGAGATTGATTCAAACTGAAGAAGCTTGTCTTTATGACACCTAGATTCCGTAGTAATCCTGGTCAATATTCAGCTCCAAAATAAACTATGGGGAGGAGGAAATGAGTCTCAGACATTCCTTTTTTTAGAGTTCAGAATGTCTTTGCCTCTGTGTCTGAAAATTGTTGTTCTTTAAAACAGGTGGTTGAAAAGAAAACCAAACCATACATTCAAGTTGACGTTGGAGGTGGGCAAACAAAGACGTTTGCTCCTGAAGAAATTTCTGCCATGGTTCTCACTAAAATGAAGGAAACTGCTGAGGCTTATTTGGGAAAAAAGGTAAATATTTCTAAAACAATGTTAGGACCCCCCTCTCCCTGGCCTTGGTTGACTGTTATGTATAGATGCCTTCATGATTTTACTGTTTTCTGAATGACATCAAGTTTGAGTGCTTTACTGTATACCAGACATTTTTCATGTATAATCCCTTAGTGCTTTCAATTACATGTTTTGAAATATTTTCTAAGGTGGGTATGATATATATCATTTCATACTCAGTTTAGAAATAAACTGGCTTAGATGCTAAACTGATGGTTTGATTGTAATTTAAATAAGGGTTAAACCATCATGTAACAAGATATATTTAACCTTTTGGCATCCTCTTAGGTTACCCACGCAGTTGTTACTGTACCAGCCTATTTCAATGATGCCCAGCGTCAAGCAACCAAAGATGCTGGAACTATTGCTGGACTGAATGTTATGAGGATCATTAATGAGCCGTAAGTATTAAACTCATGGGTATGGCATATTTACCAAATGGAAGAAATGTGAACTCGACTAAGCATTTTTTTCTTTCATCCACCTAACAGTACAGCAGCTGCTATTGCTTATGGCCTGGATAAGAGGGAGGGTGAGAAGAACATCCTCGTGTTTGACCTGGGTGGTGGAACCTTCGATGTGTCTCTTCTCACCATTGACAATGGTGTCTTTGAAGTCGTGGCCACTAATGGAGATACTCACCTGGGTGGAGAAGACTTTGATCAGCGTGTCATGGAACATTTTATCAAGCTCTATAAAAAGAAGACTGGCAAAGATGTTAGGAAAGACAACAGAGCTGTGCAGAAACTCAGGCGTGAGGTAGAAAAGGCCAAACGGGCCCTGTCTTCTCAACATCAGGCAAGAATTGAAATTGAGTCCTTTTATGAAGGAGAAGACTTCTCTGAAACCCTGACTCGGGCCAAATTTGAAGAGCTAAACATGGTATGTTCTTGTTTTTTGCTTTGCTAATGAGGATTAATTATACTCTGAATTTAGGACAGTGCTTCTAGGTGTCACAGGGATCACAATAACCATATCTCTTTTTCTAGGACCTGTTCCGTTCTACCATGAAACCTGTCCAGAAAGTGTTGGAGGATTCTGACTTGAAGAAGTCTGATATTGATGAAATTGTTCTTGTTGGTGGCTCTACTCGAATCCCAAAGATTCAGCAACTGGTTAAAGAGTTCTTCAATGGCAAAGAGCCATCCCGTGGCATAAACCCAGATGAAGCTGTAGCATATGGTGCTGCTGTCCAGGCTGGAGTACTCTCTGGTGATCAAGATACAGGTAGGTCAATGTCACAGCATCTTCCATAATGCTTGGGTAGTAATAGAATGTGAGCAACTTGTCCAAGGTTACATAGCTAGTAAAAACCTGTGGCAGTCTTGGGAGGCCTTAGCTACTAAGTGTATTGCACTGCCTCTAACACATAACTGAATGGCAGAGAGAAGGTGAACTTTTACACCGTTCATGGGGAGGTTGCTTAGTAGTGCTTGTTTGACTCTTGAATTAGAGCTTATCTTGATTAACTTATTTTTGCAGGTGATCTGGTGCTGCTTGATGTATGTCCCCTTACACTTGGTATTGAAACTGTGGGAGGCGTCATGACCAAACTGATTCCAAGAAACACTGTGGTGCCCACCAAGAAGTCTCAAATCTTTTCTACAGCTTCTGATAATCAACCTACTGTTACAATCAAGGTCTATGAAGGTAATTACCTGCATTTGTTCATTTGTTAATACCATAGTATACTTTAGAAAATGTGATTTCTTTAATACACTGTACTGAAATGGTTAGGGAAATACCTGCTAATTTTAGGTGAGGGTCCTTATTTTGACTAGTGTGGGGTTTTGTTGTCAGCACTAAAATCTTTCCCATTGAGCTGGCTCAGAATATAAGAATGAGAATGCTATGAAGTAGGTAAAATTCAGTTAAGTCCCAGTTGCTGCTGCTTGTAGACTATTAAGACTGAGCCACTTCTAGCTTGATATAGAGTGTCCTTGCCACTATACACTGTCGTGATTCAGATCTGCTAATGTTTGTTAATAACAAGTTTTTGTAACTTCTAGGTGAACGACCCCTGACAAAAGACAATCATCTTCTGGGTACGTTTGATCTAACTGGAATCCCACCTGCTCCCCGTGGGGTCCCACAGATTGAAGTCACCTTTGAGATAGATGTGAATGGCATTCTTAGAGTGACAGCTGAAGACAAGGGTACAGGGAACAAAAATAAGATCACAATTACCAATGACCAAAATCGTCTGACACCTGAAGAAATTGAAAGGATGGTTAATGATGCTGAGAAGTTTGCTGAGGAAGACAAAAAGCTCAAGGAGCGAATTGATACTAGAAATGAATTGGAAAGTTATGCCTATTCTCTAAAGAATCAGATTGGAGATAAAGAAAAGCTAGGGGGTAAACTTTCCTCTGAAGATAAGGAAACCATGGAAAAAGCTGTAGAGGAAAAGATTGAATGGCTGGAAAGTCATCAAGATGCTGACATTGAAGATTTCAAAGCTAAAAAGAAGGAACTAGAAGAAATTGTTCAGCCAATTATCAGCAAACTCTATGGAAGTGCAGGCCCTCCCCCAACTGGTGAAGATGAAACAGCAGACAAAGATGAGTTGTAGACACTGTTCTGCTAGTGCTGTAATATTGTAAATACTGGACTCAGGAACTTTTGTTAGGAGAAAATTGAGAGAACTTAAGTCTCGAATGTAATTGGAATCTTCACCTCTGAGTGGAGTTGAAAATGCTATAGCCTAAATGGCTGTTTACTGCTTTTCATTAGCAGTTGCTCTCATGTCTTGGGGTTGGAGGGGAGGCGGAATTGGCAATCTTAAAACACTGGGTAAAAACAATGGGTTGGGAGTGTGCTCACCTTGGAAATGTTCTATTTAACAATTGGGTCATGTGCATCTGGTGTAGGAACTTTTTTCTACCATAAGTGACACCAATAAATGTTTGTTATTTACACTGGTCTAATTTTTGTGATAAGCTTCTAATTAGATCAATTATTTATTTTAGGAAGATAACCAAAACATAAGGTTATATTCTTTTTTGGAGGAGGGGTACATGTTCTGGGACGTTTGGAGATGGCATAAGAAAACATTTCTGTTCAGTACTTCCAAAGAATTTGACTATCCTTGGGGAGGGGAGGTTCATCCACATCCTTTAGGCAAGGAACATTTCAGTGTCCAAAAGTAGTTTCCTTAAACATTTGAAATTTCCTACTTCTCTTTCAAATTGCATTTCTAGTGGCCTTTATAATGATTTATAGCTGTTTAGATTCTTTTGTCTTAAGAATTGATGGAGTGATGTGACTGCTGATGTTAACTTTACATGTTAGGTACCCTCGAGTCGCTTTCGACTCAGCAACGCTATGTACAACAGAATGAAACACTGCCCGGTCCTGTGCCATCCTCAAAATCATTGCTATGTTTGAGCCCATTGTTGGCAGCCCGCTGTGTTAATCCATCTCGTTGAGGGTCTTCCTCTTTTTTGCTGTCCCTTTACCAAGCATGATGTCTTTCCAGGGACTGGTGACAGGTCCTTCCTGATAACATGCCCAAAGTACATGAGATGAAGTCTTACCATCCTCACTTCTAAGGAGCATTCTGGCTGTACTTCTCCCAAAACAGATTTGTTCATTCTGGCAGTCCATGGTATATTAAATATTCTTCATCAACACCCTAACTCAAAGGCATCAATTCATTGTCCAACTTCTGCATACATGAAGCGATTGAAAATACCATGGCTTGGGTCAGGTGCACCTTAGTCCTCAAAGTGACATCTTTGCTTTTTTAACACTAAAGAGGTCTTTTGCAGGAGATTTGCCCAATGCACAGTACCTACTGGGATTTAATTTGTAATTTTAGGATGATGAATATTTTCAGTCTGAGCTATGTCAGAGTCTTTATCCCTGAAACTTCATTGGTGGTACTGGGGTGGACCCAGGATAACTACGAAACTACACTAAACCTCGCTACAATTTTGGATTAAAGGCAGTGATTTATATAAGAACAGGTTTAAGATTACTTGGAGTGGCTTCCTAGGGAAAGGGTGGTATAGGAGAGTCATTATTATGATCACTGAAGGTCAGGCTATCAGCTGCTAACATGAAATCCAGTATTGTGTGAGGATAGATACTATTTCATAGATGGGTTAATTTGATAAAGATGGTAGAACTGGGACCGAACACCAAGCTTGTCTTAATCTAAGGCCTGGACCTCTTATTGCCACAAAAGCATTCGGGCATCTGGAGCTTAAAACATTAGGTCTTCAGGCCAAGCTTAATACAAACTAAAATTGACCTGAGTGGCTTGTGCTCTGGGGTGGTGGGGTTGGTTAGGAAATACAAAGGCCAGTCTTCCGCCCTCCAACCACTCTCATTACCTTGTACCAAGACTCTGCACCTCTTCCTGAGGAGCAGATACTTAATATTAAAAAGATGGACTTCAACCTGCCAATGTCCATTCCCTGATTTCTCCAGCTTATGTTGTGTCTAGCAATTCTGTGATTATGCAAATTTTTGGTAATTAGTATTCATAACAACTAATCACACCTCAGTTGTATTGCTGGTAAAACCCTTTAGATAAAGATGTTTTTTTCACTGGGTTATCCATTTCTACACCTATCAAAGTAGAGAAGAATAAGATGGATAGATAGTCCAGAAAATATTTTGGAGGTATAAAACAGCTAAAGTGTCATTTAACTTTTCTGAAAGTAATTGATGCTTAAAAGTAATAAAACATAGGTTTTATTAGTCAACTACAGTCACAATACAATCATCATAGATCTCTCCTTCTGTATTCATGCCACCAAACACAAAACAGAGCAGTATGTCAGCCTGACTTTCCTGTGAGTCATCAACTTGGATCACTCCTTTGTCAGCAAAATCCTCTTTCTGAACTTCACAGTTTAGAGGGACAGAATTTGAATCTTCTTCCTCAGAAGATGTCACTGGCCATGGAATGATACACATGGAATGATCCAATCGTCCAGGGGGTAGAAAAGTATCAAATTTAAGCAAGGTCCAATGCTGCTTTTCTATATTGGGGAAGAAGAAAACAAAGGCTTCGTGTTAACAACTTTCTAGAAATGCTCAGTAATTTATTATACCAGCTGAGCCTTAACAGAAACGGGACCAAAGGAAAAAAGACTAATGATGGCAGTATTACTGCTTTGATGATGTCATTACCTACAAATTGGGTTATCCTTTGGATTTAGATGTGGAGGGGCCAATTTCAAAAACCAAAGCACTTAAACTACTTCTAATCTGAGTGGTTACATTTGTTAAAGATCCAGGATGATACTTGCTCACCTGTGTGATATTGGTACATTGTGTCCAGTGCTCCTGTAGGAGCCAGTCCTCCAAAGATATACACATGTTTCCCCACAGCCACAGCTGAATGGGCAGCACAGCCTGTGGGAGCAGCCCCAGTGGGACTTAGCTTCTGCCACTTCATGTCACCTGCCAAGAGAAAGTAAGTGTTTTGGCACAACATGGGCTAAAATGTGGTTTCAAACTTATCTTTGCCGGACTCCTGCAGCTTGCAAACCAATCACTGAACGTCATTCACTAAGAGCTCTTAGAGGTAACACAGCAAGGTTTAGTGTGCGTAAGAATTACTTGGGGGAGTTTGAAATTCTAATTTAGTAATCCACGGAGGGAGGGGCTAAGTAATCTATAGTTCTTACAAGCACCCCAGGTGATTCTGATGTAGGTGGAGCACACTGAAAAATGTGATATAATCTTTGGTGACCATCACCATGAACTGAAACCCATAAGTAAGGTTCTGTGTATGTGTGTGTGTGCATGTGCACATGCTTGTTGTAAATACTAAAGGTTCCTTAGAAAGCAACTTTGTGGAGTGCTGGCTATACAACATTAAATACCTAACTTCACTTAATTCTCATAAGAGCCCTATGAAATTGCTATTACTTCACGCCTACCTGCTTTCTTCTTACAGATGAGGAAACAGGATTAGAGAGGGAGAGACTTGTCGTGAGATACCACAGCTAGTAAGTGGCAGAGCTAGACTTGTACCTACGTCTGACTCCAAAGCCTATATTCTCTACACTGTAAACGTGCTGCTTCAGCAACTACTCCCAAACTATTTTTGCAGGGAATGAGGCAGGGTATCACCGCATTTAGGTTTAGAGAACTACTTGGGTAGGCAAGAAAAATAACTAGGAAGTAGTTCCTTAGCACAAGAGAAAAGAACTTTACTTTCTAAAAATAAACATTATAACCCTATTTGTTGGTGTATGTTTTTCTGTATATATTTTCACTAAAAAAAAAAAAAAAGCAAAACATATATATGTAAAACAAAAACATTTGACTGCCTGCAAGGAACACTTCAGTGAAGATACTTTCCATCTGTACAGGCAAGGTAGGAGCCCAGCACCCCAGAGATGGAAGAGAGGATCACCCAGTCCAGCCAAAATTCTAGTCAATATAGTAATACCAGCCAGCATCACCTGGCCTAAAATGTCTCCAAGCCAGAGAACCCATGCTTTCTGACCACTGTTCCAATTTCTGAAGTCTGGAGCACTGCAGAACATATTCATCATTTGTTTGTTCACCTGTCCACTCACTCATCCAATAGATATGCACTTATCTACTATCTGCCAGACACTGTGCTAAGTGCTGGAAATACACTGGGAAACAAAAAAAAAAAGACAAAGTCCTGTCTTAATGGAGCTCAGTCTGAAGGACTGACCAAGAATGAGTCCAGGCCCCATAGGGCACATCAGCACTTCAGTGACAATTCTCATGTCATCCCTAACCCTCTTCTTCACCAGTATTTTCAACCACATTTGGCATGCAATTCTAGTCACCAATCTCAAAACACACTCTAGTAGTTATCCATGTTTCTCACAGCTCATGCCTGAAAGAAATGCACTTGGAGAATAAAAAGCATAATGGATATTAATGAAAGAGCAAGTTGTTGGATAATCAAAGATAATGGTTGGACACACAGTCCTCAGGAAATGTCTGCATTTACTGCTATTATTATTTATTATTATTCAGGCTACACTTGACTTGACAGAATCCAGTGACGAATCTACACACTTGTCAAGTTACCCACATCTACAAGCGTGGCTATATTCTATCAGAGCACATTCTATTTAATTTTAAGCTGACAAGCCCCTACTTTACTTACTTATATCAATGCAATGGAGATCATCATAGAATTTGTCCCCTGCTAAGCCTCCATGGATGAAGAGCTTTGTTCCTGCTGCCACCATCACATGACCATGCCGGGGTGATGGGGGTTTTCCAAGTGTCTCTGGCTGTGACCAGGTCAGAGTGTCTGGAAAAGTAAATTCATTGGCATTAGATGGCAAAGCCATGAAACGAGAACATGAGAAATACACCCAAGCTTCTTTACCACTTCCCAGCAGAGATGCTCCAAACAGGAAAGGGACCTTGAGGTCATTCACTCCTACTCACCAACCCAATCTAGGCTTCCCTCCATAGACTCTATAGCCTGGAAAGCCACTGCTTGGACACTTCTAGGGCTGGAGAGCTTATTTATTAACAGGCCTGCCCCTTCTGGGCATTAGGAAGCCATTCCTTGCTTTGAATTAAAAAAGACCTCCCGTCAGCTTCAACCTAGAACTGCCCCAAAGTTAAAAAGAATGAGTTGGCTCCTCCATAACAAGCGTTTAGTCTTCCTTTTTAAAAAGATAGTATCTTTAACTGCTTTGTTGAAAGAATGAGGAAAAAAATAGGTTACTATTAAAGTTAACAAGAGTGCCATTGGTGTGGGAGTATTAAATAATGGTTAGAACAAGGGTTTTGGAGTTTGAAACCTGGTTCTCTTACTGTGTGCCCTTGGCTAGTTTTTCCATAAACAGTATTTTCTACAGCTATAAAATGGGGATACAACAATACCTGAAAATACCTACCTCTAAGGACTGAGGTGTAGATTAAATGAGATAATGTATATAAAGCACATGAACAAAGGTATTCAATATATGAGTTATTAATATTTATATTATTCTAACAGTGCATTCTACCATAGGCAGCTCTTCATATCTTCAAAATTGTACATATACAGAATTCTGGAAAATCAATGAATCAAGTCAACATGCCAGAAAATCTTGAAGGAGTGCTGCTAAAACTATTTGAGACAAAGACCTGCTAAACAACAATTTATCTTTGAATTACCATTTATGACATGCCTGCAGGTTGTTCAAGGAGGCCTCCTCCTCCGTGTGCCAAGGAATATAGTTTAAAATAATCTGAAAAGGTTTATGCACAAATATGTTTATCATAATGTTGTTGGTAATAGAGAAGAACTGGAAATAGTATAAGTGTTCACCAACAGGTTGCGTTATTGATACAGCCACGATGGAATAGTATGCATTTATTAAAAATGTTAGTTTAGACTTTGTGATCATATGCGGAAATGCTTAAGTGAAAAATGTAAGATATACATATTATGTATGACATTATCTCTGCTATGTTAAAAAAAAGACTGGAAATGCACTGAGATGTTAATAATGAGTCCTGGTGGCAAAGTGGTTAGGCCTTCGGCTTCTAACCAAAAGGTATACAGCTCAAATCCACCAGCTGCTCTGTGGAAACCCTATGGGGGAAGTTCTACTCTGTCCTGTAGGGTCACTATGAGTTGCAATCGACTCAATGGCAATGGGTTTGGTTTTGTTTGTAATGTATATGTCTCTCTCTCTATACATATGTATACACACACACCCCAACATATATATACACACAAACATACACAGTTATGTACTTCTTCCTTTCAGTTTTATATATTCAAAAACACTATTTAAACTTTTAAAAACTGCTTTAAAAGAATCACAAAGTCCATTTCTTTCTAGAAAGAGAAGAATTAGACTGTGAAGTGTCTTAATTCTTCCAATTTTACTTCGCAAGTATGAAATTTTGCTTATTTCATTTCCTTAAGGCAAGCTGCATTTTACTGCAAAACAAATGAAAAGCATTTTTGTCAGATGTTTTTTGTAAAACATTATTTATAAATGCCCACTAGTAAGAGAAGGACCCCTGGTGGTGCACTGGTTAAGATTTTGGCTACCTTCCCGGATGGGGCAGGAGACAGGTGGTGTGCAGAACTCAAATTCTAGTAAGAAGACCAGACTTAATGGTCCGACTGAGACTGGAGGAACCCCGGAAAGCATGGCCCCTGGATTCTCTATCAGCCCAGAACTAAAACAATTTCCGAGGCCAAATCCTCAGACAGGGATTGGACTGGACTGTGGGACATAAAGTGATACTCATGATGGCTGTGCCTCTTAGCTCAAGTAGATACAAGAGACTAAACGGGCAACTTCTGTCCAGAGGTGAGATGGGAAGGCAGAGAGGGTTAGGAGCTGGTTGAATGGACATGGGGAATCAGGGGTGGAAAGGACGAGTGTGCGGTCACAGTATGGGGAGAGCGATTAGAGTCACATAACAATGTATGCATAAATTTTTGTATGGAAAAAAATAAAAAGAGTTCGGCTGCTAAACTAAAGATACAAGGGAAAGATTAGTCCAAAGGACTAATGAACCACAACTACTATGGCCTCCACCAGACTGAGTCCAGTACAACTAGATGGTGGTACTCGGCTACCACCACTGACTGCTCTGACAAGGATCACAATAGAGGGTCCCAGACAGAGCTGGATAAAAATGTAGAACAAAATTCTAACTCAAAAAAAAAAAAAAAAAAAAGACCAGACTTACTAGCCTGACAGAGACTGGAGAACCCTCCAGAATATGGCACCCGGACATCCTTTTAGCCCAGTAATGAAGTCACTCTGGAGGTTCACCTTTTAGCCAAAGATTAGACACACCCATATGACAAAAATGAGACTAAAGAGGCACACCAGCTCAGGGACTAGAAGTCAGGAGGGGACAGGAAATTTGGTAATAGGGAACCCAAAGTCGAGAAGGGAGAGTACTGACATGTCAATGGGTTGTTAACCAATGCCTTAAAATAATATATGTACTGTTTAAAGAGAAGCTAGTTTGTTCTGTAAACCTTTACTTAAAGTTCAATAAAATAAGAATAATGTCCATACTTGCGTCAAACACGTGCAGCTTCACATCCTGCACAGGCTGGGCGCCTCTCTCTCCACCTCCAAAGACATACAGCTGGTTTCCAATGGCTGCTGATGACGTGTGGAATGTTCTTGGGGATGGTGAGGGGCTGGTCACCTCTGGAGTGGTCCAGGTCCTGGTTTCTGGTCCAGAAAGAAGACACATGCCTCAAACATCTAGGCTCGGGGGCCTATGACCTTGCCTCTGGGGCCGGGTAGGGTCACTTTCCAAACCCCAATCCCCAAGTGGGTCAGCATAGTTCTAGGCAGGGACCTCATGCCCATCAAAGACAAGGAGGGATGCGGGCAATCCTTAGAATTTGTCTAGACGTACCAAAATCTCCAAGATTGAAAAGCCACAGGTACAATTAAGAATGTGGTCACTCTGCTTTCAGAGGCCTTCAAACATCCTTTCTAAACCCCTTTCCACTTTGCTGGCTACCCTGCCCCAGGCCCATTCAGAAGAGTCCAACATCTTTTAAAAAAAATTCATTCCCACTAGAAGCCAGAGACCAAATGTCCCAGGATATGTGGTCATTAATACAAAAGTAGGCAATGTTATTGCAGTTTTAGTAGTAGTAATAATAGTCCTAGTAATAATAGTCGCTACTAAGCAGTAAGTGCCCAATAAATATTAGTTTCCTCATTTTACAGATAAGGAAATTGAAACAAAGATTACGTCCCTTCTATAAGGTGTTATGGATAGTAAATAGCTGAGATGGGTTTCAAATCCTGTTTTGATAACAGCAAGATCTATGATTTTCCACTCATCTGACCTGAGAATAACATTTCACCAGCTGGGTAGGCATATAGAAGATTATTTCTTCTAAAAATGAAACATGAATTGTTGAGATAACATATACTTGTTATGTATATTTTCACCACAATTGAAAACAAAAAAAGAATGAAGAATTTTATAGAAACAGATGCATTAATTGAGTACCCTCCTTGTAATGAATCATGCCCTGAGAATTCTTCCATCCTCACTATCCTCACTCACCCCCGGGAGTTGAGGGGAAAGTATTTCCATTTTGCACATGAGGGAACTAAAGCTCATAAAAATTAAATCCTTTCCTCTGGGTCTCAGTGCTGTGAGTAGCAGAGCAGAGGTTTGAACTCTGATCTCTTCAACTCCCATACTCACTATACCACATCACACCAGGAATTACTTCTTGCCTAGGAAATTCTTTGCCTTATATGTAGGTCTTCACTGGATGTATGAAGTGTCACATGAAGCATTTATAATATGTGTGGAACTCAAACACCTACCTGGAGATGAAACAAGTTGCAGTCTATATATCCAAAACACAATATAATTGTCTCTCTAGCTACAGATCTTGGAGAGCTTTTGGATGTTAGGAGGAGTTAGAATGTGCACAACCACCAGGGTCAGAAGATCATGGGTTTGTGTTGCTGCCAAGTCAAACACCAGCACAAATAATCACAAAGGTCCTAAGCCATTTGAAGTAGTAGATTTGCTCAGTGTAATGTGTTGTTTGATTTCTTGACTGCTGCTGCCATGGGGGGAGCACTGGTTGTGTGGTGGTTTAGAGCTATGGCTGCTAACCAAAAGCAACTAACGATTTCACTTACATTTTTCATATTTCTTAGGTATGGTGTCAAATTATACTTTTTAGGAGAGAAAAAGAATCTAGTGGAAAATCAATTCCTTTGACAGAAGTTTCCAAATTCTCATTGTCTGTATTTTATTCAAATGGATGCCATCATTGAAAATCAAAAGGGCAGGGTCCCACAGCTGAATTTCCATGTGCTGAACCATAAACATATCAGCCACAACAGCTAATGATTATTGGGCATTAACTATGTGCCAGACAGGCAATAAACAAATAAATCAAATAAATAGATAAGATACTTTTAAATGCTATGAAGAAATTTAAACACTTGACACATAGGAAAATTCAGTTCCATCTCCTGAAGGACCAATTGTCATGCAAATACATGGTTGCAATGAGTTCTGACACCAACTATGTGAATTTAGGCCAGACTTCACAGGTTATAGGTATAGTCCACAAGACCGTTCTCACTTCAGACAATAGTTGTAAGCTCATGGGTCCCCAAGCCACCTTCACTTCTGACCAGCTGGCTACAAACTGGGAAGTTCTCACTAGCTCCCTCAGGTTTAAAAATTCGATAGAACAGCTCACAGAACTCAAAAAAGCATTATACTTACATTTACAGTTTTTTTGTAGCAAAAGGATACAAATCAGAACCAGCCATAGGGTGAGACCCATAGGGTGAAGTCTGGGCAGGTCCAAAATGGGAAGTTTCCATTGTCCTCTCACAGTGGACTTAGAATGTGTCACACTCCCAACACCTCGATGTGTGACAATACACAATACTGCCAACCAGAGAAGCTCCCCTAGGCTTTCATCTCCAAAGTCTTTATTGTGGTCTCATTATGCGGGCTTGACTGATTAAATCATCAGTCACATAACTAAACTTGATCTCCAGCCCTCTCCCTTCCCCCTGAGGTCGGCTGATGTCAAAACTCCAACTCTCTAATCATATGGTTGGTCTTTCTAACATTGCCAGCCAAATTCTTTATCCCAAAGGTTTAAAGGTTACCGCCCAGGAATCGAGGACAAAGACCAGCCAAATTCTTTACTACACAATTGTTGATAGAGGGAACTGGTCAAGAGTTGACTGACACGTGAAAAATGTCCAAGTTATCAGTAATTAACAAAATGTATATTTAAACAACTAGATAAAAAGAATTTTTTTTGGCCTATCAAATTTGCAAAGTGTTTAAAAATGATAAATCCAATGCTAGTCAGGGTAGAGTGAAACAAGCATTATCAAATACAGCTAGAGAGGGGATAAACCGGAAAAATCTCTCTGGAGAGCTATTTGGTAGCATGTATCAAAAACCTTAAAAAGGTTTATAATATTTTACCTAGTCTTTTTAATTCAGAGCATGAATATAAATTGAAATACAGTCAATTACTTCTGAACAATCATGTTCACTGCTTTGTTATTCACAATGGTAAATATTTGAAAACCTAGATGTCTATCTACAGGGGAATTATGGTATCATTATAAAATAGAGTATTACATAGCCATAAAAAATGATGTTTTCAAAGTATTGTTAATAGAAAATAACTTCTGCAGTAATTATGAAATTGAAGGGAAAAGGGTACAACAGTGCATATATAGTATGCTGTCAGGCTTGTTAAAATGCAGAGAAAAGATAGGAAGTACAAAGAAATGCTGTTAATAGCCTTAGCATAGTAGAATTGTGGATGACTTTTGTATACTTATTTAAACCTTTACAAATATTTTACAATGAATATAAATTATATTTAAAGAGAAGACAAAAACAAACTTTTTAAAATGACAAAAAATCCCCCTCCCATATGTGGTTCAGCAACATCCTCTCAGTAGTAACTATTGGTCCCTAAATTGCTTCCTTTATGATAACATTGCCTGTAAGACAAGCCAAGAACCTTGCACTTTCTTAGCTTAATAAAAAACATACCAGGAGAATCTGGGTCAGGGTTTCTCAACCTTGGCACTTACTGACATTTTAGATGAAATAATTTGGGGCTGACTTGTGCATTATAGGACTTTTAGTAGCATCCCTGGCCTACACCCACTAGATGCCAGTAGTATCCCTCCAGATGTGACAACTCAAAATGTCTCCAGATATTGCCAAATGGCCCCTGGGAGGCAAAATCGTCTCCATTTGAAAACCATTGATCTAGATGTCTTGGGTTCTACCCTGGCTCAGTCACTGACTCTTTGATGACTTTAGGTAAATTACTTCCCCTTGCTGGACCTGAGTTTCCTACTTGGCATAGCTGTTCTCTGAAGTCCCTTCCAGCTTTGGCATTTAAGGAGTTGATGACTGTACGTGTTACTCAAGGGGGGGTAAATCTGTTATTTTCAGTTTCTGCTAGAAGTTAAAATTCCTATTTTCTGTGAGGTCAACAAAGTTAATAATTAGTACAATCCAAATGGGTTTCAGTACACGAATCTGAATTGGACTTACTTATTTAGGTAAATAAAATAACTTTGGATACTTACCAGGATTCAGCACTTGTAGACAATTTCGATTTCCTGATTGGTGGGCACCTCCAAACACCCAGATGCTGTCAGGTGTGCAGGAGGGAATGAAGCTGGCATGCTCGTACCGGGGCAACAGGCCCTCCCAGGTGGCTAAATTCCACTGGTGTGTACCTAGAAAACATTTTACCCAGTTCCTTGATTGGAGCTGCCTCTTGCTTATAGTGAATGACAGACTTGGGGAGGGTGGTGAGGAGAGGGTCAAAAGCATAAATGAACAACCATCAAATCACTTAAACCACAAATCACTTTGGTCAACCTCCAAAAAGTTCCACTTAGAGGGCTATCTGCCTAGTCCATCAACCCTTTTCTATGAAAACTGTCCCACTCTCTAATCACAGGGGCAGATCCCAGAAGACATGTTTGTACTACAACACCCTTGACTTTCTAGCCTTAGCTGATTGGGTCAGAGGTGGCCACTTGACCCAAGCTAGGCCAATCAGGTCCTTCCTCTCAAGAATTTGAAATTCAAACGGATTTCTGGATTTGTATGGTTGTGTTACAGCATGTGTAGAGAAGCAGAGAAAGCCAAAGTAAGGAATAGAGAAGAATGAAACAGATCTGAGTAAAGAAGCAAGATCTCCCCAGAGAGAGAGAGGGAGGAGACAGATGGTTTTTGACAGCTTTCCAATACCTGCTTCCACTCTCTCCTGAGGCTGGGCTGTACTTCTTACCCTTGGATTCTGTGGAACACTCTTGTATCTGTATAAATAAATCCCCGTTTTGTTGATTTAATTTGGTTTATGTTACCTGAAACTAAATGATCTCTGGCTAAAACAAGTTCATAGAATAATAATACCAAATCCATTCATTATTTTAGTTAGCAAGGTACTTACACAAGACTTTCACGGCCATTATCTTTTAGATCATTATAACTGCCAAGTGAAGCAGGTTATCATCCCCATTTTACAGGACACTGAGGCACAGATGGTTTGGATGGTTTGGCCAGGGTCACACAGCTAGTAATAGGTGGCAATAAAGATGTAACTGAACTACACGGCAAGTTCCTGAAGACTGGGGCAACTGTGGCAAATTGAAGAATGACAACCCCATTGATAGGTGGCAGCTGCTACTCAGCTCCAAATCATTGTTGCCATATGTCAGATCTTCCAAGATCCTCAAGAGAAGCCAAACCATTTCAATATTTATACTGAAGCCTTCTGCACATTTAGTTGGCAAACAAATTAGATTAAAACACTAACAACGTTATATGGGTGGATCTAACAAAGCATGTATGTGGGTGACCAGTTTTCAACTTCTGCTCTGTTGTGTAGTACATAGTAATCACTCATTCGTTTGTTCATTCATTCATTCATCAAAATATTTACAAAGCACCTACTCTGTGCCTGGAAGTAGCTAGGGATACAATAATACGGAAAATAACTACAATTTCCCATTTTCAAGAAGTTTCTACTCTTGTGGGGCAGACAGACAAGAAAAAAATCACATGCAATAAAGGTTATGAAGGGGGATAAGGATGGCAAAGTGCAGGGTACGGTGGAAATACAGTCATTTGCTGCATAACATCTGTTTGGGCAACATCCGACTGCATATATGTCTGTGGTCCCATATAACTTCGCTAAGTATATACGTGTACACAGCTAAGTATATATGGCTAAGTATATATGCTGTCTGGACCCAGGAAGAAAGGGGCAGAGGGAGGAGGAAGGGAAAAGTGGGGGGCAGGGGGAGGCTGGAAGTCCTATACAGATGTGGGGACAAGTTCATTGGAGGTCAGTGAACCTTGACAAGTCAAGCTGAGTGGTTGGGCGAAGTGGTTGAGTGGCAGCCGTGCTCAGCAGAACCTCGGCTGCCTGCTCACAGTGCACAGTGAGTAGCTGCTCTTCTGAATCAGGTTAGTGCAACCAGGCTCCAGCAGGATGTGGGGTTCTGGAAGGTGGGCACACTGGGGAACGGACCAAGAGGCAGGGGCTGTGGGAGGGCTTAGGAAGGGGCATGGAATGGGGGATCCAGGGCCAGAGAAGAAGGGTCAGAGAGGTGGCCTGGAGAAGCCACTAAATTGGAGGGACTGGAGAGGGACAGAGGCTGAGGAAGCGTACATAGTTTGCTAAGTAATATGGTGTTTGCATAACGTCCAAATCACTAAACATCCTATTTCACAGAACACATTGTGGACCTTAAGAAATGCACGACTGTATAGGGAAGGGGCGCCTAAACTACTCCAGGAGTATCAGGGAAAACTTCTCTGTAAAAGTGACATTTAATCTGGGATATGAAAGATGAATAGTATACAGAGCTTTCCAGGCAGAGGGAATAGTATGCAAAGGCTTGAAGGCCAGAGAGCTCAAAGTGTGTTCAAGGAACTGAAGGATACTCAGCGCAGCAAATATATAGGAGTTGGGAGGGGCCAAGAAATGATGCTGCAGGTTTCAAACAAGGGAGTGACATAGTCTGATTTGTATTTTAGACAATACCCTCTGGCTAAATATGGAAATTTGACTGTACTGGGGGTAAACTTGGATTCAGGGAGACCAGTGAGAAAGCTATTACAGTCTAGTTGAGAGATAATGGTGGCTTGGTTTATGGCAATAGTAGTGGAAGCGGAGAGACATGGAGGAAGATAATAGATATTTAGGACTCGGTGATTAACTGCATGTGTGGATGAGGGAGCGGGGGAAGTCATCGATGTCTCCCAGAGAAATATTTGATGAATGAATGGCTAGATGGCCAGGGCTCCATACACAAGCTCTTTCCCTCAAATCAAGGAGGTATTAGTTGGGTGGATGTACTCCAGGATGTCAGCTGAGACCTTAGGGACCTGTCAGTGATATTCATTTTTTTTTAGAGGAAAACCTTGCTCTCTGGCCACAGGGTGCAAGCTCCATCACTCCCACCACTCCTGGTCTTACCCAGATCCATGGTATGCACATCTGAGAAGCTCCTGTTTGGATCTGCTCCCCCAACAATGAAGACTTTCCCTCTCTTGGCGTCACCAACTGGGGGTAAATATGAGCAGCTATGACCAACCCGAGCACAAGGGCTGTCTCCAGGGGGGGTCAAGGTGTACCTGCCAAAGGGAGGATACGTTCAGGAGGCCTGAGAATAGACCAAATGCAACAGTATGGTCCTTCTATTCCTCATGAAATTCGCCAGAACGAAGGATCTTATTCACACGTGACACTTACCCATTTGCACAGAATCTTTGGCTTTTTAAGTTTGTTGCTACTTTCATCTCACAGTAATCACTGGGGCTAGTTTTGGCTAGTAATTGTCCCCATTTTCTAGACAGGGAAACTAAGACCCAGAAATGTTCAATGGCATGTTCAGGGACAGGATAGTGGTTATAAGCATGGTTTGTGAATTCAAATACACCTAGTTCAAGTCCCAGCTCAGGTACTTTCTAGATGTGTAATCTTTTGGCAGTTACTTCTAACCTTTCTGAACCTTAGCTTCCTCATTTCCAAAGTGAGGACAGCAACAATTCTTACCTCAACAGTGGTTGTAAAGACTAAGACTGGTAATAGTGCATGGAAGGATTCAGTGCATGGTGACTGGAGCTTTATGTGCAGTCATATAGGAACCTACAGCCCCAAGGCCCTTGTCAATAGCCAGAGATGCTTTCCCCGTCAAGAAATACTCTCTTGTATTTATTGATTTTAAAAGCCTTTCCAGATTACTCACAAAGCTCAATAAGATAGAAAGGCAAAGCTAAGACTTTGAAGAATAAAATACAGCATCTATTTATTCTTCTCTCTGAAGTTATTCTGAATGCTGACCGAGAGAGCTTCCTGATGGGAAAAGAAAATTCCCTAGCCATTTTTCAAGCGCTGTCTTATTCCGGAGCCCTGGCGGTGCAGTGGTTAACGGCTATGGCTGCTAGCTGTAGCTAGCAGTTCGAATCCACCAGCCACTCCTTGGAAACCCTATGGGGCAGTTCTATTCTGTCCTATAGGGTTGCTATGAGTCAGAATCAACTTGACGGCAAGGGGTTTGGTTTTGTCTTATTTGACATCTCTGGCATTTAGTACTCCTGACCCCTCCCTTCTTCCTGTGCCTTTCTCCTTACCTAGCTTCCCCACACCCCTCTCTTTTGGTTCTCTACGTACGTTTCTGGCTGCTCTTTCTGTTTCCTTCTCTGACTCCTTTCCTGTCAGCCTCCTCCTAACTCTCAGTGTCCTTGGGATTCTCTTCTCTTTTCTTCAGTATATGTTTGCTTACCTGATCAATTTTACCTATATTGATGGCTTCAATTACCACTCATCTATATATTCATCAGTGATTTCCAAATCTGTTTCCTGTCCAGCTCTCTTTTCTGATATCTAAATTCACATATCCCACTACCACCTGAATGAATAACTGTTAACAATGTACCAGGCATGCTGCTAACTACACTTAGTCTGTATAAAACCTCTTTGAGGATAGTACTAGTATCATCATTGAATTTTACAACTGAGGAATTCGGGCTTACAAAGGTTAAATAACTTAATCAAGAGAACAGAGCCATCTAGATACATGGTGAACAAGACAAAAAAGTCCCTGCCTTCATGGCCCTTGCTGATTCATTGGGAAGAGAGACACTAAACAGATAATTTCACAAATTTCCTATTTCATTTCACTTGTGCTATAAAGGAGGACAGGCTATGTATAGTATGAGAACACATTACACAGGGAACTTACCCTATAAGGAAAGGTGAAGTGGTGGTGGTGGGGTGGTCAGAGAAGGCTTCCTGAAGAAGCACCATTTGAACTGAGATCTGAAGTATGAATAGAAAGTAGCTATGCAAAGAGAGGGATAAAAGATGGAGGCAAGGAAGGGTTCAGGTAGAGAGAACAGCATGTACAGTTCCTAAGTGGGATGGTGAAAGGCATGCAAAACGAAGAGAAAGAGAACAAAGGAATGAGTAAGAAAATTTGAGGTTGGAAAAACAGGCAGGAATAGATTATGCAGGGCCCAGTGGGTCATTTTAAGGAGTCTGGTTTTATCCTAAGATCATGGGGGAGGCATGAAGGGGTTTTACGGCGGGGCAGGTCATGGTCATGGAACAGGCTGCATAAGCTTAATTACCACCATTGCTGAATAATTGCTTCGCATCATTACTAGCCCCCGCTTTTCCGCATGATATTTTCTTTTTTGTTATTCTTTCTCCCTCCTCCTATTCCAGTAAGATTAACTAAAGTTTCTCCTTGGAGGGTGGCAGAACAAATTGATAACCCTCAAGGACTAGGATTAACTCATCTGCGATGCAACAATCGTGACTAACGGTGCCAGATAAACTTCAAGGATTACCAGTAAGAAGTGAGATCATCTGAGATGTGAGAAACGTGACCACCAGAAGAGAAACTATAATCCTGTCCATATGAAAACTTTCAGCCAGTCTCCAGTCGGGGAGACAGGTTTTTTGGAGGAGCTCATTCCCCTCTGTCTCCTGTATATCGATGTACGATAAAACCCTCTTGCTGCTCACCTCATCCCTCTCAGTATTGGCTTTTGCGGCAGGCGGCTCAAATCAACAATTTGTGGTAACAGTCAGATTTATGTTGGGTACAGAGCAAGAATGGATGCAGGGAAATCAGAATGGAGGCTCTCCTCCAAGGTCCTGTGGAAACATTGCCTCCTGTCTACAGCCTTCCCTGAGCTCTGCTTCAGCACTGATCACATCTCATCACCATCATCTGCTTAGCCTGCCTCCCCCACTACAGAGATTATTCCCCTCTGCACCTCTAGCACCTACACAACAGCTGCCCTCATCAGGCCAGTGTTAGTTGTTGAGGGTTGGCTAAGCAAGCAGCTGAGAAACAGTGAAGCCAGTTTAATCCAAATCCAATTCCCTGAAAATCTTAAAAATTAGTCATATCTTGGCAGGAGTCACAGTGTTGGAGCTGAGGATGCCAGATGGTCAGTGCTTTCCTCTTTCTAGTAAATGGATTTTAATAAAATCAACATCTGCTCTGTGATAATTATTGCCCCACTATCTTTCCTCTGAAGACCTTCTCAGACAGTTTGAGTCTAATTACCAGAAACTACAAGACAGTTTCATCTCTACCCTTTTTTGTTGATGATAAAGTATGTTAGTAAACTTCTTATAAATGAGACAAAAACTCATGTTTTTCTGTGTCTGATTCCTTTCCTTACAGACCATGTTGCTTTCCTCGGCTTGTCTCCAGGCTCCAAGACAGGCAGCAGCTTCATGGTGTCCTATGCCTAAAAAAGAAAAGCACTTTTTAGACATTAATTTTTATCTTCTTCCTAAAACAAAGAACAAACCAGTCACTCTCCTCCTTAAAACCTTTCTTGTTGAATGTATCAGTTTCATTTGAATAAGCATCACCAACTTTTTGATATAATCTTATATTTGGGGGGCAAAGTTATTCTCTTAACACAACTACAAGAAATAAGTTTTTTTTTTTTTGTTTGGCTGAAGTTTTCTGTGTATCTGTGATTCTCAAGGGGGAATAGCACATATTAAAATAAATTTTCAGAGATCACAAGATGTTTATGTTTATCAAAAGATAAAACATTTTAAAAGGCTGAAAAATACTGAATTCTAGGATAAATCCTGGCCTCAGCATGAAGTTGAAGGCCTTCTGGTCTCAACCTTCTTTCCAGGAAAACACCTCCATAATCTCTTCCTATATTAAGCTTTTTGCTGTTCCTCTAGCATGGCACACCCTTCATAACTTGCAGTCTGTGCTGCTTCCCCTATCTGCAATGTCCCATCCATCCTTGTCAACTCCTAGTCAACCTCCAAAGCCTAGTTCAAATATCCCCTCCTCAATGAAACCTCACCTGATTTCTTGCTTTCCCTTTCCACTCCCAAGTTACTTCCTTCTCCTTCTGGGCTCTGAAGGAATCTATCAAGCAATCATCATTTCAGGGACAACTCTGAATGCAATTACCTATTTAAAATTCTCTAGAAGGAGATTCTACTTTCCACTAGCCTAAATTCCAAGAGGGTCGGGCCTGTCAGATTCATCAAGGTGTCTCCAGAGCCTACCAAAGGGCCAGGCATAGTGTAGAAGTGAGTGAATGATGAATGAATGAATAAAGAAAACGGATTAATGGATTGAGGAATGGATAAATCCGACCTTCGGCCTAGGCCACTGACCGCCATCCCCAAAGCCCAGAGGGCTTCGCGTGGGCGGAGATCTCCCCCAGCCAACACTTTCTAGACTCATCACTGAAGCGCTTGGCGAGAGGAGACAGGGTCAGTAGAGAACAGGCTGGCTCCTTTCCGTCAATGTGGCCGGTCGGGAACAGAGAAGCTCCTTCCCAGGCTCTTCCACCGGATCGGGCCCATTCCCCTAAAGGATCCGGCCACCACCGCCCGGGATCGCGCCAGACCCTCGGCCGGGAGGACCCCACCACCGGACCGCCTTACCTGCAGCAGCTTGGGCTAGTCCCGGGGCCTGGCTCCGCCCCTTAACGGGAGCGGAGTTGGGCCCTCGCCCCTCCCTACCAGGGCCGGAAGAGGTCCCGGGCCAACTGCTCCCCTATTCCCTCCCCTCCGCCCCGCCCCCAGAGCAAAGGCGCGGCTTTGGAAGAGGCAGAGAAGGGGCACTACCTGTCTGGGGTGGCTGCTAGGCTGTACATTTCTGGAGAACCAAACAAGCCTAGCTGTCCCTAGGGTCCTCCTCACTCCCCAGCAGAGTAAATAAGCCAGAGCTACTTGGAAACGACTTAGAAGCGGAACGCCTTAGTGCTTGGGCGTCTCTTCGAGTGACCCAAATTATTTCACTAGCTGGACTGACTATCCTAGAGAGGCTAACAGTTCCATTTTCAGTTATAGAGATTGTTAGAACTGGTGTCTGAAGGGGAGAATTAAGGGTGCTTTCCTAGATGTGAAATTGCCCTGCGCATTTCGTAGGGCCAGTTTACACTTCAGGCGCCTTAAACAGCTAACTCATTCCATAATTACCGTTGTGAGGGCCTGATCAGTGCCAGGCATTGTACTGAACAAGAGAAACACGGCCCCTGGCCTCCTGAAGGTTACAATCCAACTAGACAATATTAAACAAACAAATACACAAAACCCCCAAATAACTAGATACAATTGTAAAAAGTATAAGGAATACAAAGTTCATTAATGAGAGTAACTATCTTGGGGAAGTTACTTTTCTCTATGTCTAAGCATCCTCCATCTGTAAAATGGGGAGAATAAGCTTTATCTCATTGTGTGTGGTGAGGCATACATGCGATAACGTATATAAAGTGCTCAGTGCCCAGTGGCTGGTTCAGAGTTGGCCCTTTGTAAAGGTAAGAATATCGCTGGCTATGGAGTTTTTGTTGTTGTTATATGCTGTCAAGTTGGTTCCAACTCATAGTGACCCCACAGGACAGGGCAGAACTATCTCATAGAGTTTCCAAGGAGTGGCTGGTGGATTCAAACTGCCGACCTTTTGGTTAGCAGCCAAGCTCTTAACCACTGCGCCACCAGGGCTCCAGCTATGGAGTTAGATGTGTTCATCTGTGTTATGTCTAGCTAGTTCATAACCATAGGTCCCCTGTGGCTTTCCTGAAAATAGAGGGGAGGCTCACCTATGTCTGTGTTTCAGAAAAGCCCACAATCACCACTTGTGAGCTAAGGCCAATAGTTGTGTCCTAGAAGTAGAGGAAAAAGCCAACAGCTAAAGATGGAAACCACAGGAGCTCCTGGAGTACAAAGCTGAAGTGAAGTACCATCATGAGAAGCAGTCAGGCATAAACCTCCGAAACCAAACGCATTGCTGTTGAGTCAATTCCAACTCATAGCAACCCTAAGGACAGAGTAGAACTGCCCCATAAGGTTTCCAAGGCTGTAAATGTTTACGGAAGCGGAACGCCACATCTTTCTCCCATGGAGCGGCTGGTGGGTTCAAACCACTGACCTTTTGATTAGCAGCCCAGCACTTAACCGTCACATTTTCAGACACACTGGGGCTCAAATCCAGGCTCCAGCACCAGCCATCTAACTCTATGACTTTTGGCAAGTTCATTACCCTCTCTGAGCCCTAGTTTTCTCATCTGTAGAATGGGGATAGTAATACCTACCTTGCAGAGACAGCTGTTGCAAGGATTTGATAATACAGGTGAAAGGCCAATCTGGTAAATCTTCGCTACTTGAAACCATAACCAAAATTTATTGACAAAATGGAATTTGAGTTCTGCAGGTCTCCTCACTGCTCAAATATCCTATTTCAAATGCCAGAAATCTTTGTGAGTTCCCATGTTAATGGGAAAATCCTCTTTAACTATCTGCCCAAGAGTTTAGGAGTAGTCAGTCATTCTGATCTCTTTCAGGAAAGAAAACCAAGGCCAGACTGGCTCTGCCTAATATATCCACGTGCATCTGGATGGAGATTTTTGCTCAGAGCTGCAGAATGCTCTGATGCCCCTGGTGTTTTTTGGCTACTTCAAAGTGCTATGCTGGAGTCACATATAAACAAGAAAAACTGGAAGAGGTTTGTGGGGAAAATAGCAACCAATTTTCATTGTGGGACCTATGCTTTTAGCCTAGAAATCACATTTGATAAAGTGATGGAAACTGAGACCCAGAGAAGGGAAAATGACTTACCCTTGTAAGTAGCAGAACCGGGAGCCCGTATTTCCAGCTTCAGGCAAGGAACACTAAGAATACATTCCAGTCAGCAAGCTCTGCACAATGTCTCCATGCCATGTTATTGGATGTGAATATCACTTCTTGCAAGGACTCACCCAACAGTCCTAGAGATGCTTTTTTCTTTCCTTTCTGTTGTGGATGTCAGGAATAAGGTTTGCTCAGTGAAGTGGGTCTGCAGGAGGAGGGAGCTTCTTGCTTCCCATTTGGTAATGTGAGGACTGTCATCTATTTTCACTAGAAGGGCATACTACCAGCTTTCGTTACTTATCAGTTCACAGACCCATCAGCAAAGGAAGACAATGATGCTGGTGACACTTTCCTTTTAAGCATTTACAGTCTATGAAGAACATTCATATCCATCTCTCTACTTGTTCAGAGGTTTAGAGACGAAAAATGAATTGCCAGCTCTCGAAAGAGGACTGTAATAAAAAGAAAGTCAAACAACAATAGCAACAAAAATTTCCCTGTTTGGAAATTTTCCCCCAAGAAACTCTGAGTATATTAGCTCTTTACTTTTTAATCCCTAAAGTCTTAAATGTTACCTCATCGGGAAAACCTTCCTTCCCACCTAATACTCAGACCTAACACTCAAATTGCACTTACTCTGTGCTAAACACTGTTTTAAGCACGTATTAACTCTACTAAACCTCAGTACAAGTCTCTTCATAAGAGGTAGGTACTATTATCATCTCCATGTTGAATCTGAGAAAATTAAAGTGCAAAGAGGATAAATACGTTGCCCAAAATCACACAGCTTGTAAGTGGCAGAGTCAGGATTTGAACTCAGGCCATCTGGTGTTAGAGCCCATACACTTTATCTCTACCATACTGCCAACCTGAAGTAGGTCTCTTCTACTCCATTTTTCTTACTCACAGTATTCCTCTTTTCTCTTTTTAGCACTAATCATAATTTGCAATGAAATATTTGCTCATTTATTTATTACTTGTCTCCCCTCACAAACTCTAAACTCCATGAGGGCAGGGATCATAGCTGCCTTATTCACATCACAGGCATTATATAACTGTTTGCTGAATGAATGAAGAAATGAATGTTTATAGGCAGCATTCATTCTGCAATGACATTTCTTTTTAAAATTAATTTTAGTTTGAAACAATTTCAAACTTACAGAACAGTTGTAAGAATAATACAAAGAACTTCACCCAGAGACCTCATTAAAGTTTAGCCAATTGTCCCAAAAATATACTTTAGAACAAGAGGATCCAGTCCAGGGCTACTTAAACAAGAAATATTTACTAAGTACCTTCTACTACTGGATTATGTAATAGTCTTCTAACTGGTCTCTCAGCTGCAACCATTGCCCTCTACATTCTCATACAGCAGCCAGAGTGAGCCTTTTAAAAAACAAGTTAGATCATGTTACTCCTCTGCTCAAAACCCTACAATAGTTTCCATTTCATTAAGAGTAAAATCAATGTTCTCCTTTCCTCCATCTCTCTGATCTCCTCTGCTACTCTTCTCACCTTGCTCCAAACACACACTTGCTGTTTCCCAAAGACTCTAGATATGCTCCAGTTTTAGGGCTTCTGCACTAGCTCTTCCCTATGATTTCCCCAAAGTATCTGCATGGCTAACTCTCCACCTCTTTGTTGGTTCTTAAAAATACATCACTCCACCTCCCTTGCCCGTTTTTTTTTTTTTTTCCGCCATAGTAGTTATCATTTTGAAACATGCTATAGTTATTTATTATGTGTATTGTTTACGTTCTGTCTTCCTCTGCTAGAATGTTGAAGATAGGGATCTTTGTCTACTTTGTTCACTGAATATCCCAAACACCTACAACCCTACTGTTGTGAGCACTAGAGATTAAAAAAAAAAAATTATATATATATATACATACACAGTCATGTGCCATATATATATATATATATATAGTCATACACCATATAATGTCTGTTCAGGCAATGTCCAACCACATATACATCTGTGGTCCCAAAAGGATAAAATACAGTTCAGAAATCCTGATCGAAGAACAGGACATGGTAGCAAACGCAACAGCTTCCCATACACAACACGTGTATCTCATGTCTCCTCTGTACAAAGCTATTTTGCTCTGCCAGGTGTATAATGGTACAGTACATATATAACATACGTCTTCATAGTCATAATAAATGTCTATGTTACTGGTTTATGTATGTACTGCACTGTACTTTCTATCATTATTTTAATGTGAACTTTCCCTACTTACAAATAAAAACTTTACCATATAACAGTGTATGCTTCAACTCATAGTCAGCGGCATCCAATCTCATGTATCACGCATCTCTGGAGTGTTGTAGTGTTATATCTCTGTTTAATTTTCTTCCAAAAATATTACTGCGATTAATCCAAAAAACACAAAATAATAAATGCTGGAGAGGTTGTGGAGAGACTGGAACACTTATACACTGTTGGTGGGAATGTAAAATGGTACAATCACTTTGGAAATCAATCCGGCGCTTCCTTAAAAAATTAGAAATAGAAGTACCATACGATCCAGATATCCCCTTCCTTGGAATATATCCTAGAAAAATAAGAGCTGTCACATAAATAGGTATATGCACACCCATGTTCACTGCAGTACTGTTCACAATAGTAAAAAGATGGAAACAACCTAAGTGCCCATCAATGGATGAATGGATAAACAAATCATGGTATATCTACACAATGGAATACTAAGCAACGATAAAGAACAACGATGAATCTGTGAAACGTAACATGGAGGAATTTGGAGGGCATTATGCTGAGTGAATTTAGTCAGTCACAGAAGGACAAATATTGTATAAGACCCCTATTATAAGAACTCAAGGAAAGGTTTAAACACAGAAGAAAACATTCTTTGATGGTTATGAGGGTGGGGAGGGAGGGTGAGGGTTATTTACTAACTAGATAGTAGATAAGAATTATCTCAAGTGAAGGGAAGGACAGCACACACTACAGGGGAAGTCAGCACAACTGGACTAAACCAAAGCTAAGTTTTCTGAATACAATCAAACACTTTGAGGGACAGAGTAGCAGGGGTAGGGGTCTGGGGACCATGCTTTCAGGGACATCTAGGTCAACTGGCATAACAAAGGTTATTAAGAAAATGTTCTGCATCCTACTTTGGTGAGTGGCGTCTGGGGTCTTAAAAGCTTGCAAGCAGCCATCCTTAGATGTATCAATTGGTCTCAACCACCTGGAGTAAAGGAGAATGAAGAACACCAAAGACACAAGGAAAGTAGTAGCCCAAGAGACAGAAAGGGCCACATAAACCAGAGACTTCATCAGCCTGAGACCAGAAGGACTAGATGGTGCCCGGCTACCACCAGTGACTGCCCTGACAGGAAACATAACAGAGAGTCCCAGATGGAGCAGGAGAAAGGTGGGGTGCAGAACTCAAATTCTAGTAAGAAGACCAGACTGAGACTGGAGGAACCCTGGAAAGCATGGCCCCTGGATTCTCCATCAGCCCAGAACTAAAACAATTTCCGAGGCCAACTCTTCAGACAGGGATTGGACTGGACTGTGGGACATAAGGTGATACTCGTGAGGAGTGTGCCTCTTAGCTCAAGTAGATATAAGAGAGTAAAAGGGCAGCTTCTGTGCAAAGGTGAGATGGGAAGGCAGAGAGGTTTAGAAGCTGGTTGAATGGACATGGGCAATCAGGGGTGGAAAGGAGGAGTGTGCTGTCACAGTATGGGAAGAGCAATTAGGGTCACATAACAATGTATGTATAAATTTTTGTATGGAAAAAAATAAAGATGGGCAAAAAAAAAAAAAATTACTGCAAAGTGCATCATGGCTCCCAAATACAGCAAAACCAGTGCTAGTAATAGCAGCAGTAAGAGGCAAAGGAGAAGTATCAATTTGGAAGTGAAATAAAAGGTTACTTAACAACACAAAGGTGGAAAATCAGTGAATGCTACTGCTCATGATTTAGCCATGTTGCACTCGACAATCGTGACGATCCTCAAAAACAGAAAAAATTCTCCAAGGTGTTAATGGATCAGCTCCACTGAAAGCTACAAGGCTAGAGAAAATGCAAGAAGAACCTATATCAGAAATAGAGAAACTGCTAATGACATGGATTGAGGACCAAACACAAAAGCGAACTCCTCAGCACGTTGACAGTCACTACTAAGGTACAAAGCTTGCTCCAGATGCTTAAAGAAAAGGCAGGACCAGACTATGATATTGAGTTTAGTGCTAGCTCCAGGTGGTTCATGCGCTTCAAACAATGTTTTTCGCTGCATAATGTGACAGCGAATGGTAAGTCTGCAAATGCTGATGCAAAGGTAGTAGAAGAATTTGTTGAAACCTTAGATAAACTAATTGTAGAGGGAGGTTATTTGCCCCAGCAAAATTTAAATATGGACAAAACCTCCTTATTCTGGAAGCGAATGCCTGAATGGACCTTCATCCTTAAGGAGGCGAAGTCAATGACAGGCTTTAAGGCTTTTAAAGACAGAATGACAGTGTTGTTAAGAGGCAATATCGTATGTAACATGGTGTTTCCACAACGTCTAAATCACATAAGGTCCTATTTCACAGAACGTACGGAGGACATTAAGCGAGGAATGATTCTCTCTCTATATATGTCCCTGCCCTCGTGGGAGTCACACTGAAGTATATTTAAGCCAGCAGACTTATTTTCCAATCTCGGTTCCACCGTATATTCCCCGTGCCATTTTGGGCAGATTCCTTAACCTCTCCTGTTCCCTATCACTCATTATGAGGATTAAATGGAATAACAGCATCTGTAAAGCATTTAGCATAAGAAATATTTGAATATTTGTTTTCCATCCTTCCAGGAAGGAAGACTGGGAGCCTGACATCTCTGCCACAGGTTTAGGCAAGGTTTTCACAAGGCCTCGGAGAGGTGCACACAGGTTACCATGGCCAAGCTCACCCAGTTTTTAACTGGAGATGTTCTGGTAAGACAGAGAGGAGAGTGCTTAGAAGGGTCAGAATGAGAAACCAGGAAATGGCTAAGGAAGCTTACTTCGCTGTTTTTCACCGGAAAATCCTTGCCGCGTCCCCAGAGGTGAAAGTCTGGAGGGAAGGAAGGGCAAGGAAACAGGCGTAGATGCTCACAAATGGAAACTACAAATCCCAGCATTCCCCGCGGCAGACAACTACGGGTCCCGGCAGCTTTCGCTCGACTGGGCGCGGGGACTCCAGGAGCCTGCAGCCTGGGTTTAGCCAGAGAGGGCGTGAGCCTTGCGGAGGCAGCGAGGGGAATCGAGTCAAGCTTTAACGTTGCTGCGCAGACGCCTCTCTCACGGCCGGACGTGACGTAGAAGAGTTCCGGCTTCGGCCTCTGCCGCTGCCGTCGCTGTTACAGCCGTCGCCGCCGCCGCAGCCGTATCCTTTGCGGCTTGTTATTTCTAAAATGGCGCCCCTAGACCTGGACAAGTATGTAGAGATAGCGCGACTGTGCAAGTACCTTCCGGAGAACGACCTGAAGGTGAGCCCGGCCATGGCAGGAGCCCAGCTTGCGGGGCTTGTCCCTTCCGGCAGTGGGTCTCTCACCGGCCCGCCCTTTCTCCGCGGTACCACTGCCGGGTGTCCTGTCCCGTCGCGGCGGATGGCCCAGTGCGGTACGAAGCTGCTCGGTCGGACCTGGCGTCACGCGCAAAGCCCCGGACCCCGGCTCCCTTGAATGCCGTCCTGGTTCTCTCAGCGGGAGTCCCGAGGGAAGTCGCGGCCCCTGCCCCAGAGTCACCCCTTCTGGCACTAGGGCTGCCCCAGAACTCCGAGCCCTAACAGCTTTGATTAGAAGACTTCTCCCCCCCGACTTCCACCCCCGGGTCTCCCGGAGTCCGAACCGAGCCCCTGCGGGCAGTGTTCTCGGATAGGGTCATCTCGATTAGAGGTGACAGGAGTGCGGGGTGGCTGGCGTTTGACAGGAGATAACGCCGGCGTCTCGGAACGCAGCCCCGGTGTGTTCAGGTTTCTGAAGAATGGGAAGGCAGTTGTCCAGAGCGGTTTGGTAGTGATATGAGAGAACGTGCAGTTGTCCCCCTTTCCAGTTGCTGTTTAGGAATGTTGGTTTTGTTGTACTAATTCAAATGTGAATTATGTTTATGAGTATGTTATTGAGCTAATTTAAGGGTTATCTTTACTTGAGGTAGTAGGACCTCAATAAATACAAATACTTTTCTGTTCTTTAAGTCGTTCTCCCACAATCTCTTCTTAACTCAAGATTTCATTTTCTTTGTTTTCTAAAGTAGGTGAGTTGTTCCTTGTGACTGCCCAGTCCTAATAAGAGTAAAGGAATGAATGTCAAAGTAAAGGAATATAAATCTTTGTTATACTGCTTTTTTGAAGAGTGTGTCTATGTGCTTGCTAAAACCAATGCTTAGGTGTTTAGAAGTTATTTACCTGCTAGTGTCAATACCTGTTTTATTTGTTCAGTAAACTTTTCATCTCATATGTGGTTAGTGGATAGATTGTTGATCGTTTGAATTCTTTTTATTCTTTAAGCTATGGGTTTAAAGCAATTTACCTTTGTCTTTGAATTCTTTATCATAACGAAGAGGTTATTGCCTTTTTCTTCTGTTACCTCCCTTGGTACAGGAAATTGATATTTAACATAACATCAATAAAAAGTATGCAAAATGT